CAATGTCTTTAAAATGATCTTTCCATTCAAAATGACCTATAATTTTGCTTCATTTGGCCAAGATATGAAAAATCTCATTTTTAAGGCCATTTTTATTCATTAAATCCAACAATTTTGAAACCTTGTGCTATGAATCTTTCCAATCTCTCATGGTCACTTTTCTAGACTCAAAATGTCATTTGGAACAAGTTTGATGTTGTAAAGTTTTCCATTTGAAGCTTCCTTGTATGAGTTTTGGGCATAGGTTAAAATGACCTGTAATTCACAAATGACCAAAATACCCTTTGCTTGCCAAGACCATAAGTAGAGTTCCACACATCCTATGAAGGCATACCATACCATTATAGAAAGCTAAGACAATGAGGAACAACTCTTATGTTAACCAGAAATTCATTTGAAATCTCCTTGAGGGGTAAAAATAGCTTGGAAGCCAAGTCACTTTCACAGACAAAATTTCAGACACCTCAGATGACCTGTAACTTGCAAAGACCATAACTTGAGTTCTATAAATCTCCTTGATGTCTAGATACTCCCCATGCTCTCCATTCACAACTCATAATTCCCTTGTTGATCCTCAGACTCCCTCAGTTAGGAGATATACTCAATGCTTGATCCACTGAACTCCCTGCTTTCAAATTCTTTTCTGATGACTTGAATGAGATTGAATTAGGATAATAACCTCTTGATAGGCCTCTAGAGATGATAATAATGATTGGTCCCCTGTTGGATGACTTGCTATGCTTGTGCTATGCAGAGGGTTAGGCTATGTACATGACTCTATATGCAAATGCTAATGATATTGAAACATAAACCAAGTGAATAAGGTTGAGCAAATTTTAGGGTGCAACAACGAGGGCGAGATTTTCCCTGATGAGCAAAGAGTGAAAGTCTTTATTTTTAACTCTTTCTTTTTCACGTTTTTTGCTTCGTAATTCTTCCCCCTTTGCATGTGCTTTGCTTACTCGTGTTTTTCTTGCAAAGATGGATGATGGAGTTTCTTTAGAGTTTTGTTGTTGTTGTTCTTCTTCAATGTGAAGAGCAACAACTTTTAAGGTAGTATTTGTAAATTGTGAATGGAAAAACTATTAGAACCTGTTATGTATTTATACTAAAAAACTGGTCAGCAAAAAAGATAATAATTAAATTAAAATTAGAAAACAAATCGGATACTATGCCATAATTAGGACCAGATTCATTCCTTCATAAACAAGATAAAAATCAAATTAAAAATATATATTTTTTGTTTTTTTAAAGTAAAAAAGCAAATAAAATTGTATTAATTAGAAACTAAATTAAAATGGAACTAAAAATAGAATTAACCTAATAAATTCTAAATAAAAATTCATTTAAAACAAGATTTTTTTAAACTTTTTTTTGGATATTTGTTTTACTAAAGAATGAGAAAGGTAAAAAATAATAAGTTTTTAAAAATGCAAAAATTAAAAATATAAAATTAATAAAAAAAATTTTAAAAATGCAATTTTTGATTATTTTGGTGTAAAAACGTAAAAACAAATGAAAATACACTAGAAAAATTTAAAAAAAAATTTGTGGAAAATCGAACCCAAAACCTTATGATTGCATTCAATACACATGTTTTACTTTACTATGTTAATTCATTTATTTGAAATAAAATGACACTAAAAAACATATGAAGGATGACTAGAAAATAGACTAAATAATACTAATTAACTTCTTAATAATAATTAAAAAATAAATTATTTTAAATACCTCATTAAAAATCTGACTATGAAAATAATCTCTAATTAAATTATTAATAATAACCCAAAAATAATAGTCATTTTAATACTATATAATAATATAAAATAAAATTCTAATACCTAAATTACTAATCATAACATTTATTTAAAACAATTTTTCTACTAATTTAATAATTAATAGTTAAATAGTAATAGATTTCTAATAACTATATTATTTTAATTAGTTAGTCAAAACTATTAAAATAAAATCTAAATAATATCCTTAAGAATTATAGTCTAGGCTAGGATCAAATTCTTAAAGGGAATAAAAAACCAAAATGGCCCCCCTTTGACCTTTTAGCTTCCTGGGGTAAACCAGATGACTTGTATGCGCTCTGAACATGTTAATGATCAAAGCTCTAAGTTAACTGAAATTGAAAAGAAGGATGGAAAAATTTGGGGTACAACACTAGGTATCTTCACAACCTACACACTTAAAAGATGAGCTTTGAGGCTCCTTAAATAGCAATGCAATTATGGGTTTTTCTTCTTTGAATTTCTATTAAATTTCGTATATAATAAGAGCAGATATTGTTGGAGTTGATTTGCTACATAAATATCTCCAATAAAAGATATATTTTGTTATTAATTCAAATTCAATTTTAAATCTCCATTTAAATTTATTTGATCTTTAACATATATCAAACAAATCACAAACGATTGCACTAATATAGTAATAAATCTAATTGAATTTTAGCCAAAATTTTGCTCAAAAATGCAACAACACTGGTCTGTTGAACCAGGGTCAGATGTTGCGCTTGTGTTGGAACATCATGTTCCACATGTGTCCCTTCTTCACAACAACTGCAATAACATTTTCCTATTGAAAGAGAAAAGATGTTTCAACACACTCTTTTTCACTTTAACTATAATAACATATGTCTGTTGACAGAGACCAAATGTTACAACACACCCTTCTTCACCACAACTGTAATAACATCTGTCACAAATCAGATGTTATAGTACACATGTTGGAACATCCTGTTTCATATGTTTCATTAGTACATCCAAAATAACTCTTCATACATAAGACTTTTTATATAGTTAATCTTGGACCAAATTTTCCTTCAAAGTACATTCAATCAAATCTTCTTTGACTGAATAAAATTAAAAAATTTCAAGTTGAATTTGGATTAACACTACATACTTCTTCACAAAAGTAAAACTCTGTATCTTCAAAAAGTCGGCACCTTAACTCTTCTGAAGGACATTTGAAGATAGTCAGAACCCAAACCTTAAGCCTATTACTTAACTAGTTATGTCAAACACTTTAGCTAAACAACTCTTGCTTAAGAGGTTTTGTTAATTGCTTTAGCTAAGCAGCTCTTTCTTAATTGGTTATATCAAGCACTTTAGCTGAACAACGTATCTTAACAACAAACTCAGATGCTTGAATACATCTTGAGACATCTGGTTCCATATGTTTCCTAATACTACATCTCGTACATATGTTGTTTTTCCTAATGCATCCAACCAAAAGGAACAACAATTTGCTTCTACACAAGGATTACCTTACTTGGAACCCCAAAGATGAGGAACAATGTCTCCTCGAAGGCACTTAAGGGACGGGGAACCTATCCCTCGTCCCGTGGAGTGTCCACCCTACCTTTATTAGAATAAAATCATTATATATATATATATATATATATATATATATATATATATATATATATATATATATATATATATATATATATATATATATATATATATATTTAAATTTATATGTTGTTTTTTTCCTTATCATATACCCCTCTGTTCCTTATTATAAGAAAAAAATTACTTTTAGATATATTGAATAATCAATGTATTTGGTTAGGAAATTTTACCTCATACCCGGTCACTTATACCCATACCCCCACATTTTTTTAAAAATACCTATTTTATCCTTATATATTTAATATTTTATTATTTTATTTATTTTGTATATTTTTAAGAGTTCTGATCCAACTGTCTATCGGAAGACTTCAAAAATGACATCTGGTAGGCTTTTTTTTCCAAACCGGAACACATGTATAAAGAGTTCCGGAATGCAAAAATAATATACCGGAAGACTTCAGAAAAGACTTCCGGTAGTGTAATTTGTGTGGTGCTCACCGGAAGTCTTCATCAAAGAGTTCCGGTAGTGTAATTTGTGTGGTGCATACCGGAACTCTTTGATGAAGTCTTCCGGTACGTGTTTCCAATTTTTTTTTTTTTAAACTTTTTTATTTTTTTATTTTAAATTTTTTTATTTTAATTTTATTTTAATTTTTTGTTTTTATTTTTTATTATTTTTTTTATTTTTAATTTTTTTTTATTTTTAATTTTTTTTAATTTTAATTTGTTTTTGTATTTTTTTTATGTAATTTTAGAAATTCTTTTACAAATATGTGATAAAGATCAGATATGCGTAGATACGTCTGATGTTTTTTCAACAACTCAAAGATTTGGTACACAAGAAGAGGTAATAAGATGGATTAAAGAGATCGGAATTCGAAATAAAGTTACGGTTATCATCACTCATTCAGATATTAAAACAGGCCAGAGAGGAAGAAGTAACAAATTAATATTTGGATGTGATAAAGGAGGAAAACACATAGATATTGATAGTGGAACCCAGAGTGCAACGAAAAAATGTGGATGTCCATTTAGAATCAGATCAATTCCAGCGACTGATGGATCTGGATGGAAGATTGATGTAAAATGTGGAGTTCATAACCATGGTTTACCTGATAGATTAGAAGGTCACACATTTGTCGGTAGGTTGACAGCGGATCAGAAGCAACATGTTGTTGATTTGACAAAGAGAAAGGTTCCACCTAGACATATATTGCTTTCATTGCAAGAGCAAGATCCAGATAATGTCACTCGGATCATGCAAATATACAAACAGAAGAGTATGATAGAAAAAAATATAAGAGGTCCTAGAAGTGAGATACAACATTTGTTTAAGCTCATTAAGGAAGCAGGTTATGTTTATTGGAGTAGAAAAAGAGATGACTCTGAAGTAATTAGAGATATCTTTTGGGCTCATCCAGATTTAGTTAAATTGTTGAATATTTTTCCTATTGTGCTAGTTATGGACAACACTTACAAGACAAACAAATATAGGCAACCTCTGTTTGAAATTGTTGGCATGACATCAACCGAGTTGACTTTTGCTATCGCATTTGCCTATATTGAGTCTGAGCAAACTGAGACTTTTTGTTGGGTGCTAGATAAGCTTAAACAATTGTTTGTGAAGAAAGAGTTGTGTCCTCAAGTGATTTTGACAGATAGAGATCTTGCTTTGATGAAAGCCATTGAAATTGTGTTTCCAAAGTCGATCAATATGCTATATGACCATCTCATCGCTCGAGGGAGACCCACATTATGAGCTGGTATCCAGTTCTCTCCTTTTTTTCCAAGTGTTGGAAAATACTCATGAATCCAGCACTGTCACAAAATTAATATGGTTATTAACATTAAAATAATTAATTATAACATAATAAAATTTATTAAAACAAAATATACTAAATTAAAATAAATACCTGTAAGAGAGTCGGATAACCACCAAGCTGCTTACAACTGAACATGGAAGCATCTCCGAGATATCTGTAAAGAGTAGCCAACGCAGCTGCTCCCCAACTGTATCCAGATAAGCCATCGAAGTCTATAAACAGTGAGAGGTATCGTGTCTCGACAAGCGTAAACGTCTTGTCCGCGAAAATAGTGGAACCCACCAACATCAGCAAATAAGCTCTAGTGGCATAATGCCATCTAGATACAGCTCTATGCTCAACGAACAGATCATATAACCACTCCAGCTTGTAGTAGGAACCCCTGCATTCACAGACTTGTTGTTGTGCTACTCTCTGTGACACTCCTAAATAATCAACAACCCACTCAACAGCAAGGGCTTCAGTGATATCTTCAGGGCTCCAGAAAACTCCCCTGATGGGCAAGTGAAGCAGGCAAGATACGTCATCTAGAGTAATCGTCATCTCACCAAACGACATGTGAAATGATGATGTCTCTAGATGCCACCTCTCTGTAAAAGCGGAAACTAGGTTTGTGTCTATCTTTGATAAACTGGTTCTCTGTAGTGAAGCTAAACCAGACCTAGATATCCATCTCTCCATCTCTCTAGGTAGCTGTAGTGGAACCCTCTGAGCCAACTTCAACCCATGTCCAGCCACCTTTAACTCTTTCTTCGACCCTCTCTCCTAAAATAAATTAAAAGTAAATATATTATAAAATTCAATATTAAAAATTCGAAATTCTAGTCAATATTAAATAATTTTCGTTTACTTACCTGACCGAACCATATACGGTATGCAACATGTTGTTCGTACTTAACTAACAGAGACGTATCATATGGTCCTCCTGGATATCCAACTGGTTCGGATGCTGATGCAGATGCATCAAAATGCTCTTCTTCAGCCATCCTGGAGGACTCGCCTCGTCCTAGTCCGCGAGGGATCCTACCATCTCTGCCTCGTGTGCGCACCACTAAAAAAAAATCAATATAATTAAAAAAAATAAAATAAAAATAAATATATATAATTAAAAAATAAAAATTAAAACCATAATAATAAATAAATATAATTAAAAATTAAAAAAAGTAAATTAATAAATAAATTAAAAATTAAAATAAATAAATAAAATTAAAATTAAAATAAATAAATAAATTTAAAAAAAAAACAAAAAAAAAAAACAATGAACCGGAAGACATGAAGAAAGTCTTCCGGTGAAGAAATTACGAAAATTGTGTTCCGAAAGACTTAGTCGAAGTCTTCCGGTGAAGAAATCCAAGAACTTGTGTATCGGAAGACATGCATTAAGTCTTCCGGTGAAGGAACCAAAAAAACAAACGAACCGGAAGACTTACTTGAAGAGTTCCAGTTTGGCTTGAGCGAAAAATGACTTCCGGAAGACTTTAAGGAAGAGTTCCGGTTTGAGAGATAAAATTGTGTGTTCCGGAAGTCTTTCAATACAAATGAAGTGAAAATGAGAATTTTTTTTAAAATTATACTATTTAAGGAAGGGCATTTTGGTCCAATATTTTTTAGTGTATGGGTGTGGGGATAGATGTAGGGGTATGGGGTAAAATTTTCATTTGGTTAATATATAGTTCAAATACATTTATTACTTAATGTATCTAAAAGGTGAAATTTTTTATTACAACAAGGGTCAGAGGGAGTAATTTCTTTTATTAGAAAATTAAAACATATATGTAATATGTGTGTGTGTGTATAAGAGAGAGAGAGAGATCTAAAAAAATTTGATGGTTAAAACTCTCATGAGCATGGATTAAGAATTGTCAAAAACAATAAATTTATTGTAGAAGATTAGCTTATGCATTTCTTTGGTTAGTTTTTTTTTAAAGTTTTTACAATTAATTTAATTAAAAATAAGAGATTAATTTTATATTTTATTATGTTTATGAAGATCTGCGGGAACAGTAGAGATCCACGTGGACGTAGATGGAGGAAAAAATCTCCCCGTGGCATTGGCGGGGGTTCGAGACAGGAATGAGGAATAAATTTGGGGGCGTGGACGAGAATACACCTCCCACCCAATATTTTAAAACCTGCACCGTTCTGGTCGGTTGAACCGGTTTCACCGTGAATCGAAAGGTAGAACGGTCCGGTAAGATCACCGAACCATAATTTCAATTGATCCGGTCGGTTCACTAGTTAGACCAATGAATCGATGGGTCTTTCTTGATCCGGCGTATTGATCTTTTTATGTTTATTTTTTAGCATAATTATAATTTTGATCCTCATATTTTCATTTTTTTAAAGTTTTGTTGACACTATTTTAAAATTTGATTTTATTATTATTTATTATTATGTTAATCATTTATAATAACTAAACCATTTTAAAATTACAATTATAAAATTTTGTCGAATTTTAAAAATCAGACATGTAACCTTTCAAAACTAATAGGATTGTAGTTTCAGCAATTGCACCATAAATTTCTATATACTATATAAGGTTTAAATGCACTTTTGCTACCTGTAAATTAGCGGGTTTTTGAGTTTAGTCCCTGTAAAAAAATTTTGTCTGAGTCCCTATATCTTACTTCTTACGTGCGTTTTAGTCTCTAAAGTCAAAATCCGCAGGAAAACTGCTGGTTTTTCTGCGGATTTTGACATTAGGGACTAAACCACACACAAAAAGTGAGATACAAAGATTTAAATAAAAATAAATAAATTACAGAGACCAAATTTAAAAACTCGCTAACTTACAGGGACCAAAAGATTATTTAAGCCATTATATAATTACATATTTCTCTCTAACTTATTATCATTGAATTTATTTATTATTAGTCATACAATATAGTAATATAATAAATTTAAAAAGTTAGAAATTAATTATACGATATAATAATACTTATTAACAAAAGTTTGAAAAAATCAGGTTACTAAATAAAATAAAATTATATTTTTATAATATTTTCAATATGAATCTCATTATTTAGAAAAAGAATAATGTTATTAAAGAAAGATGAATCAACATTACAACGATAAAATCAACATTCATAAAATAAAATCGGCGTTACATTGATGATTTCGACAGATATTTAAATACTACATTTCAATAGCCCGATGGATGTTTGCATATCTCTAAGATGTCATTGACCGTTCTTCGGACCGTCGCCTCCAACTCTAATGAAATTTTCTCTTTGAAACCAAAATAAGTTCGTCACATCGCCCTAACATCGTCTTGATTCTTGAGGTTAAACTTGTTATAAACAACGTTCCCTTCGTTGTCAACTGAAGGTGAACAATACTCAAACTTCACAATAATGGGGGGAGTGATCATGCAGGTTTCAAATATAGCAGAAACTTCTAGAGCTGTATCTACGGAACAATCTCGCGCTTAGACGTTTCAGAGGTGCATCTACTGAAGTTTCCCTGAACTGAATTATTTTGAAGTTCTTTTTTCCAGCGTTTACCAGTTTAAAATTATCCCGTAGATGTAGCTCCGGAAAAAAAACTAAATTTTGGCACAAAAAAAAAGGAGTGTCCGAATATGTATCTTCGGAAGCAGATGACATACAAGGAAATGCACTAGGTGCCTAAGAGTATCAAGGGGTGGATTAAGAAATTCACTAATTTTATATATTCTCATAGTTAAGTTGATAAAAGGGAGACCGCATTTCTTCTTAGTCTTGGTTTTAACTCTTTCAGGTTGGGATCTCTTTATTTCTCAAAAGAAATGAAGAGCGAGATTTATAGAATCTTTGGTGTATAATTTGTTGTTTGAATTGATGATATGTACTTGTATAATAAAATTATTAGTAATGAACCCCTCCATTTTTTAGAAAAATATAGAGTATCCTTACCCAAACTCTTGGCTCCCACTAACATTATTTAATTTTAGAGAATTTATTTTTCTACTCTATGGATTTCTACTACACCATATGAAATTTAAAAATACTCTCTGATTTCAGAGATATATCTTCAGATGTATCAAAATTTAAGTGAATGTTGAAATATTTCGGAGATGTATCTCCGAAACATTTTGGAAGTTAACATCGCGTCAAACTCTTCTCCTCCCACACTTTTCATTTTTCTTCAAACCCAACTTTAAACTCTTCTCATTCTCAATATTCTCCAACTTCACCAAATCAGATTTCATCAATAGGAGGTCAAAGAAAAAGCAAGCATCATCCATTTCATCATTCAACATCATCCAAATCATAAATTTTGGTTATGGTTTTCGAATTTTTAGTAAATATTCGAGTTATAATGTAAACGAGTAGGAATCAATTGTTAGGGGTAGAAATATGCAGAAACCATATGTAACATTGTTTAGAGTTAGTGTATGTCTTATTTGTTGATTCAAATGGATGATCAAATATTTATTTTTCACAATGCAAAGTAACAGAGGACGTCATTTCACAACCTCTGAGTTGCAGAATATTCTGGAGATACATCTCCGGAATTGTTCAGCGTTTCATATCCTCTGGGATATTCTGGAGATGCATATTTGGAAGTATTCAAAGTAAAAGGATTAAAGTTTTTTCTGAAGATGTATCTCCAGAATATCCTGCAGTCTGTTTTTTTATTTGCTTGTTTTTTTTTGTGTTGTCTACACTAATGATACGACATGATTTACCTTACAAGTATTATGGCTGACAGAGTCGACAGACGGAGACATAGCCAGGTTGCCTAGCATGCATCTGTTCGGCTGGAGCGAAGCCAGCAGGTTCTGGAGGCAGTGGGTACATCTGGTCAGACAGAGACGTCGACTTCAGGGGCGTAATCTACTCCTAGGGCTCGACCTTCACCTTAGGCCACTCCACCTTCATCTCAGGCCACTTCACCTTCTTCTTCTTCTTCTTTTTCTTCTCGTAGGATACGAGATTCACCATCTGACGTGTCACTTTCCCCATCCTCCCGTAGGTGTTAGGATGCACCAGTGCCACCTTCTGCTGATTCGGTGCCACATCCTACTGATGATCCTGCTGATCTAGTGCCACCTTCGGAGAGTGAGGTTGTTGAGGATGTTGCGCCTGAAGGATTTGGAGGAGGTCCATCTGATATGTTCCTACTTCCTCTCTATCCAGACCATACTGCCCGATATATCTGGGACGGAGAGGTAACATTAGTATGATTTTTGATTTATTTTTTACGTTAATTTAAATTGCTGACATTGATTATTATTGACATTGATTATTTATGGAAAATCTCAGGTGCGTGATCCTCAGAAGTTTCAAAACTATTGGAGGAAGATTGTTGGCTTGCCTCAGCCGGACGAGGAGTGGTTTCAGTCGGTTTTAACCTTATCTGGGTAGAGTGACCTATGCATGACCGATTACACTCTGGTCAACTACGGGATGCTTAATGCATTCGTGGAGAGATGACATTCTGATACGTCTTCTTTTTATCTCCCGCATGGTAAAATGTCTATCACACTAGACAATGTCTCGTGTTTGTTACATATTCCGATCAGGGGGAGATTCCTCGATCATGGTTGGATGACCAAAGACGAGGCAGTCGAGATGATGGTGGAGCATCTAGGGGCTGATCCAGGGAAGGCAATTGAGGCGGTGGATAGGACCATGGGTGCTCATGCTAGGTTTGATTTCCTGAAGGAGATATATGATGAGGATATCGTTACTACAGAGGTTGCCAATGGTGATCCTGAGTAGGTGGCGGTACACAGGGCCCGTGCTTTGAGGGCATATTTTCTTTTTTGTGTGTGTGCTGGGAGTTGAATTTTTGTGGACACGAGTGCCACCTATATTGAATTTGCATACCTCTGGTACTTTTTGGATCTCACTCGAATCCACGAGTACAACTGGGGGACGACTTGTCTGACCTATCTATATTTGAAGTTGAGAGATGGATGTCACTAAAGGACGAAGCAGGTCACAGGTAGCACGACACTACTCGTGGTAATAATTTTTTATCCTTGGATTTTTTTTATTTT